CCGTCTTTATCTTCAGGTAATCCTTATCCCTTCACTTTTTATGTAAATTATAATGCTTACTCGATGTGGCATAGAGCTTTTCTTGCAGCTATCTCACATGAGCAGGAACCTACTTCCTATCAAGCTGCTGTTCGTGATTCGCGCTGGCGGGAGGCCATGCGACGTGAGATTGATGCTTTGGAGGCAAATGGGACATGGACCATGGTTGATCTTCCCATACACAAGAAACCTATTCATTGTAAGTGGGTTTACAAAATTAAATATAATAGCGATGATTTTGTTGAACGATTTAAAGCGCGCTTTGTAGTGTGTGGCAATCGTCAAGTAGAGGGTATTGATTATCATGAGACTTTTGCTCCTGTTGCCAAAATGACGACTGTGAGAACTCTCTTAGCCGTGGCGGCTTCCAAGAATTGGGAGCTTCATCAAATGGATGTCGATAATGCTTTTTTGCATGGGCAGTTAGAGGAAGAGGTTTATATGCACCCACCTCCTGGATTTTCCTCTTCTCGGCCCAATCAAGTATGTCGTCTACAACGCTCACTTTATGGGCTCCGCCAAGCACCTAGGTGTTGGTTTTCACGCCTTAGTGCTGCTCTTATAACCTATGGTTTTACTCGCTCTTATGCTGACTACTCACTGTTCACTTTGACCAAAGGGAATGATTTTATTTGTATCCTGGTTTATGGTGATGACTTGCTTATTGTTGGGACCATTTCTTCACATATTACTTCACTTAAGGCATATCTTGCTCGGTGTTTTCCTATTAAGGATCTTGGTCGTCTCAAATATTTTTGGGCCTTGAAGTTGCTCGTAGCCCAAGTGGCATATTTCTATGTCAACGAAAGTATACTTTGGATCTTCTTGATGAGCTAGCAATGTCTGGTAGCAAGTCTACAGACTTTCCCATGGAGCAAAATCACCGGTTGGCCATCACTCAAAGTCCTCTTCTTTCACAGCCTGATCGCTATCGATGTGTCATTGGTAAGTTAATTTACTTAACTTTGACACGTCCCGAGTTGAGCTATTGTGTTCATATTCTTGCTCAGTTTATGCAATCCCCCCGTACTGAGCACTGGGAGGCGGTTCTTCGTGTTCTTCGTTATCTGAAGGGAAATCCAGGGCAGGGTATCCTACTTCATGCTAATTCTGACCTGCATCTTCACGGTTATTGTGACTCGGACTGGGCTGCCTGTCCTATTAGTCGTCGCTCACTCACTGGGTATATTGTCATGTTAGGCGGCTCTCCCGTATCTTGGATGACCAAGAAGCAGCCTACTGTGTCCCGCTCATCGGCTGAAGCTGAATATCGTTCCATGGCTACTGTGAGATGTGAACTCATTTGGCTCAAAAGTCTGCTCCGCTCACTTGGAATTTCTCATTCTCGACCCATGGATGTTCATTGTGACAATTAGGCTGCTCTCCATATTGCATCTAATTCTGTTTTTCATGAGCGTACCAAACACATAGAGATTGATTGTCATTTTATTCGTGATCTTATCAAAACGGGACTATTGTTACTCGACACCTCAGCTCTTGCATGCAACTTGCGGATATTTTCACTAAAGCTCTTGGTGCTCAGCAATTTCATTTTCTCTTATCCAAGTTAGGCGTTCTCACTCCGACCGCTCCAACTTGAGGGGGGTGTATGAATATATTATAATTATTATACTAGTTAGGGCTGGGACCGGTTCGGTTCTTACTCAAAATGAGTGGAACCGGTACAAAAATTTTAACTAATGAAATCGGTTCGGTTCCTATATAAAAAAATCAAGAACCGTTATGGAACCGAACCGGTAGTAAACGGTTCGGTTCTTCCTTTTACCGGTTCCTAGAATATTTTTTTCTCGTCTAAGAATTAACACACAATTTTAAACACATCGAAAATTCAAAACACGAGTATTAAAATTTTATTTGAAGATCTAATCACTTCAAACATCAAAGCTCAAACTTAACTAATGAACTTTGAACACTTAATAGAACAAAAGTTAGTTAAATTTTCATGTAATAAATTAAACATTAAAAATCGTTGTAGTGTCGGAGCGATAAAGGTTACTCATCATCATAGTAGCAAGAATAAGACGTCAACTTCAAGTCTTTCAAAATATAAAAAAAGACATTGAGTTTGCATGTATAGATATAAAAAAACATTATTACATTCTATTGATTCATAATAAATTTAATAATTAGAAATATCATGAAAATAGTAAAGTAAAATATGTGCAATCAACTACAAGTTATTTGGGTTATTTTATATTTATAAAATTTATGTGATGGAACAAAACCTGATTTGTAGAAAGGAGTTTAATGTATTATATCAACCTCATGTACAATATTTATTACTTCTTTTCCGTTGATTAAATTAGAATTGTTAGTTAAATATCTTATATTGTTTTATTATTGTTGTTGTGGTGGTGGTTATTATTGCTATTATATTATTATTATTGTTACTACTACTACTAATAATTTTTTTAATAACGGTTCCTTAACGGTTCCATGCACATATTTTTTATAGGAATCGGGAACCGAACCATTATAACCCGTTTCGGTTTGGTTCCTACAAATGAGGCATTAATTGTTAACGGTTCGGTTCCTAGATGTTGTTAACGGTTCGATTTCAATCGGTTCTACGGGTCCCGGTTCCAAAATCTCACCCCTAATACTAGTTCATACGTATTTTCTATTATTGGTGTACATATGTATTTTCCTTTTTGATCTCCTATAGTTCCGTGTGGTATTTACTGCTTGGAGATTTTGGACTTAATTAGTTTACGTTATTTTGCTTTCTAGAATTGTATATAAGGGACTCTGATTTGAATAATACAAGCAGAAGCATTTTTGCTCTCTTTCTCATTCTTCAAATATATAATATTATACCATTATGTTTGATTGTATATGCTCTCCAATATCATTCGTTGGTCCATTTTATATACGTGGTATATGACAAATACATAGCATTTTTTAAAGTGCATACTCTGGATTATTGTTGAATCGCAGGAGATAGTATGTTTTAGCCAAATCTTGACAAGCGAAAACTAATTAGAATGAAAAATTGTATATATGATTGGGTTTCGTACAAGAACGGTAAGGAAAATGAAGAGAACAACAAAAAGTATGTCAAATAAGCAAAATAGAGTAGAATCTGAGTGTTATTCGAATGAGTGTCAGTGCTGATTACATAGAGCTGGGTTCTATTTATAAGAGAGGCATTTAATGCACTTTTGTCCGTTGACGACATGTTCCGACCGTTACGACGATATCAAAATCGTCATTATGGCATCATCAATTCTGGTCAGCCCTTTGAGTAACCTATGCCTTTATTACAATAATTACTCTAATTATATACATAAAACCGCTCAAATTTAATTAGCTAGCATTAATCCTAATGAATGCGTCATTAATTGTCCCAGTCAAGGCTTCCATGTTGTCCGATTCATGTACCAACATAGTACTCCCTCCGGATCTTTTTAAACTTTACAGTTTGACTTGACATTGATTAAGAAAATGAAATTGACTTTACTGTAGAGTACACTGTTGAGACACTATTTGGCACTGCTGAGACACTGTTTGACACTGTTGAGACACTGTTTGACACTGTTTAGCACTGTTTAACACTGTTTTGATGTAGATTTCTTTGCCAAATAAGGAAATAATGAAGTGTGAAGTTTATTTTGGACCGTCCCAAAAAGGAAAGTGTGAAGTTTATTTAGAACCGGAGGGAGTACACCATTACTTAAATTATTACCCTTTTCAACTTTATTTTGCATTACAAAGATCATTTTGCGTAAAAAAATAATAAGACTATATTAGGAAAGTCGACCCAATAACTAATAACCATTTGATTAAGTGTTATGATTTAAGTAAATTGTGAGCTACATTAAAACCGCTACAAAGCTGATCAAGAAAATTTTAATTCGATAAAAATTTGATATATAAAGTAAAAGATTAAGAGTGATTTAAGTTGACCAATGAATAATGAGTGTAAAGTTCTTTCTGAACCGGAGGAATTATAAAAATGCTCTATATCACTTTTGGTCTATTTTAAATAGTTGGTATTATTATAACTTATTTTCAAAGTACATATTATTATTGGTTCACGGAAGATAGTTTGTATTATTTAAAGTTATTTTCCCATAAAATAAAGAAAAAATTATATGAAAATAGCTATAATGATTTTAATTTTCTAGAGTAACTTCAATCAATACAATAACAAAGTAAATTTAACCTTACTTTTTCCTATTATTACACATTCAACGCGTGAAATCAAAAGTTAGGTGTTTGATAGAAAAATTGGTTGATTGGCCTGATAAACCGAAAAACTGCTCTAAGGATACTCCGTATTTTTTTGGACTGAGATTTGCCGGTCTGGTTTGATTTGTTTAAGTCTGGTCTATTCTGATTTGATCTGAACTGGTTATGATGTCTTGTCTGATAAATGTCTGATTTTTATATATTTTATAACTGACATACTCTAATATGGTCTGATCTAGTTTGCCTAAGTCTAATTTGATGTAATCTGGTCTGATTCTGGTCTGTTTTTACTTCATATATACTTCAGTTTGATTTGATGTGAGATTGAAACCTAAAAAACAAAACCTCCAAAATCCTAAACATGGCCTCATTCAGCCGTTGTTGAACTACATGCCGGTGAAAAACCACACAAGCATATAAATTTATTAAAAAAAAGGATGACACCCATCCCCGAGCCGCTCAAGATCGACCAGACAACACGATAGGAAGATGTAAGTTGGACTATAATCACAACCTGACAGATAGAGAGTGGAGTTCTGTCCCCAGTACTTGCAGAGACCCATGCATTTTTCAGCATAGTAATCCCTTATCGTAATTGTAGAAAGTCAAACTTGAGACCTAACCCCGATGACACTCCCTTACTACCAGTTGAGCTACGCCCACCGATTATATAAATTTATTATTAAGAGGCTTGGGGTAAAAACTAAAAACCTAGTAAGAGATCTTTCGAGCCCATTCTTTGCACGGCTTACCTACCCTTATCCTTTTCCTTCCTACTATCCCCACCGGCCACCACCCCCGCCCGCACACACAAATACAAAAGTGTAATTTCCATATTACTTCGTAAAGAAATAAGGTTGAAATTAGAATAAGAAAAAAAAAAAAGCGCGGAAGACGACTCGGCTTCTGAAATTTTCCTTCTCTCTGAGCAGGAAGACAGGCAGGAAGGTACCTTACCTTTGTATTCCGGTCTGGAGAGGAAATATATTTACGCGAGTCTGAGAGAGAGGGACCGTAACATAAATTCTTCCCCCAAGTGTTTCTTCATTGACTTTTCTGGATTTCCGATTGATTTTTTTTGGGTGTTTTAATCATCGCCGTAACTTACTGAATAAATCCCTTTGTTCAGTTTATTTCTTCCCCTTTTTGTTCCGATTTTCCTTGAATAACACCGGTGGATTGACCGGTTTATTGCCGTTAGAGATAATATTAAATGAGATTTTAGCCAGGCTCCCGCAAAATTTTATCTTGGTTCATTTATCTACGATCGAACTGCTCCCGTTTCTGATCATCCGGAGAGGGAGTCTGATATTATATTACCCTTGTTTTGATTCTTCTGGGTGAAAAGCAGATTGGGATTTTGATATATTGGCCGTGTTCCGATCTGGGTGTCGATTGTTAGCCGATAGTTATGGGAACCAGCTCGGAAACTATGGATAAATGGAGGGACTATTTCGGGAGCGCGAATTCCGACATTTTCGGGACCATCGAGCACGCCATCATGGTGGCGGCCATGGATTATCCGCAGGAGTTCCAGTTGAGGAGGGATCGAATTGCCGAGATTCTGTTCACGTGCAAAGTCCCCAGATGCTCTGGGTGCAACAAGGGTGGGGATGAGAAGTGTAAGGCTGTTGCTGGGTTTGATAGGGAATCGAGGAGCAAAGAGAGCAAATCAAACGTTCCTTTGGAGATGGAGGTAAATGTGAAACAGGCCAGTAATTACAGCTATGATGATGCTGAGGCATTGACTGATGAGATTGAGAAGCAGTCTTTAACTGTGGGGGAGGTCTTCAGGATCAAGAAGGTCCTAGATAACTATCAAGATGAGGTTCACTTCCTATTCAATTTTTTACCAATTCCCCTTTTCTGTAGATTCTTTTTGGTTAAAGCTTATTGAAACTTTAGATGCTCTACTGGGTGATCAAATGAAAGTAATTCATATATTTTGGCATTTACTGATTACTAATTGGATTTTGTTTTTATTCAGTCTGAATCCACATTGTTTGATTCCCTGAGGAGGCTTCAATTGATGGGGTTGACTGTGGAAACACTGAAGGTTTGATCATTTGATACTTTGCCTTTCGTTTAATGGCAAAGAATGCTTTGATGTTGTTGTGTGCTTTTCTTTATTAGCAGACACTTACTTGAACATAACAATGACTTGTTTCAGGTCACAGAGATAGGCAAATCTGTAAATGGTCTACGAAAACATGGATCAAAACAGATTAAGCAGCTTGTCCGGACTTTGATCGAGTGTGTAAACTCTGCCTTGTTTTTTTTACCTTCAACCCTAACCCTTCAGTAGTTTCCAACCTCTTTTTTTCCTGATAATATCAAAATATATATTTTCAAACCTTCTTCTGCTTCTTCAAGAAGAGTTTTTATCTGTCTATTCAAACCTTAGCTGAATGAACGTTGTGAATCAAAATAATGTTTGATCTTTAATTCTTTACATAATTATATTTTGAACCAACCGGGCATAAATACATCCTTAGCCACAAGCCCACATTTCATTGATTGTTTATTTATTCTTCTTATTTTATGGCAGTGATTGGAAGATGATGGTAGATGAATGGGTCAATGCCACTACAGCCATTACAGGTAGTTGTTAGGAGCCTTTGATTTTCAGGATATGGGTGTGATCGACATATGCCTGTTAGAGATTGACGATTTACTGAGTGTTTAAATTATGCAGAAAGCACTCCAGAGTCTGGTAAAGCATCAGTTGTTGAAGAAGAAGATGAAGAGGAGGGGCTTCCTTCTCCACCTTTGGATGAGGGAGCTTTCTTCACTACTGCTACAATGGACATTTCCCAAGTAAGTAAATATGTTCTTCTGATCAGACTTGCACAGATCACAGATGTACTTTTACCATATATGTGCCTTCAACGATAGCTCTAACTAACTGTTTCATTTGTTTTGCTGACTTGTGAACACTGAAGTTCTTTGATGGCATGGATTTTGATGGAAGTGAGTTCAACATGCATCCTTATTGTTATATGGTTTTGTTATATGGTTCTTAATAGAATTCCCCACTAACAGAGAGATTTATTGTCCTGGTTGGGGAATTTGTTTCAGATCCTCAGGACAGTGGGGAATTCGAGAAGAACCATGAAAATGCCAGAAAGCCCCCTGTTAGGAAGCAGCAACTTAATGACAGCAACAGACCAACTGCAGCCCCAAGAGACCTTAAATATGACACACCCAAAAAGCAAGAACTTGTAATGAAGAACCAGGCATCAGCTGTTTTTAAGCCAAACACACCTTCTTCTGCTGTTGAACACAAGTTGCAGCATAAACTAGATAAAAGCAGCAACCTTCCGAAGAGGGCAGATGCTCCCCACCAAAATGTGAGTCTATGCATGCTCTATACATATTGACATGAAATTGATTAATTCTTTATCTAAACTATTTTTTTTTTTAATTTTAAAAAAGAGCTTAAAGACTTCTGATGAAGATTCAGTTAAAATGAAATTGGAAGCGGCAAAGAGGAAACTTCAAGAACGCTACCAAGAAGCTGCAAATGGTTAGATCTACATAAAAGACTACATATGTTTAGTTTTCCATATACCATGTTCATATTATTATTATTATTATTAGTATTATTATAATCTCTTCCAATTTTTACTACTCCTTAGCCAAGAAGCAACGGACGGTACAAGTTATGGAGTTGCATGACATTCCAAAGCAAGGTCAAGTTGTCCACAGAAGCCAACATGTGAAACCGGGAAGCCAAAACAGCAGGCTTCGGGCAACTAATGGTCGCCGATGAGCCTCCCACACTGCTTCGACACGAACCTCTTCAACCTTTGATGAAGGAAGAGCTACATAACTCCTATTCATACAATGTGCAGCATTCTCTCATACAGAGAGCTTCTAAGCTCTGAGAACCAGAGTGGCATCCTCTCCGGAAGCCAAAGAACAGTTACTATCATATATATAAATATATATATATATGCGTACAGTGTTTTCTTTACGAAGGATTGAGTATTGGTTTTTACCCTCTAAGCTAAATGATGCTATGAATCGTGATGAGTTGAACTGAACCTTCATCTGGATGCAACATAAAAGCTAGTCGGTCAATTCGGCTTTTGTCCTCTCATACAAAGAATTAGTTGAGAAGATGAAGTTTTTCTTGTTTACTTCATAATTAGCAATTTTGTCTCCTGGCAATTAGGATGGAGGATATTTAACAAAATGTCCTGCGAAGCGGGATTCGTTCCCTTGTGGGAAAAGTGGGATTTGATCCCTTGTGCAAAGCCATTATAAGTCGCAGATAACAAAAGTTTTGTAACAGATTCTTTAGTGTAATGTGAACATGTTAAACGGTTACAAATTAAGGTTTCTAAAGAATTTGGTGGTTGTTTGGTAATTGGTAAGCTTAATTTTAATGGCTTTCACATTATATGGATCTATATTATACAGAGTATATACTTATTTCTATATAATACTCAAATAAGGCATGAAACACAGAGTTGGTGGCCGGTGGGGATAGTTTTGTTAGGGACTACTATTCAACCAGGAGCTTCAGCAACACTGGATGGGTATAATGATTAGCTGACGTGGAATCTTATAAGCATGCACTTAATTTGTGCTGGATTGCTAAACCCTATTTATTTAGATTTTTAATTTAGATTTAAGTAATTCAACTGCAGCATTGTGATTGGTTCATAACTATTTATCTGTGTGATTGGTTCATAACTATTTATTTGTTTGGTAGAGATTACAGATGTTTTTACTTGGACTGTAATTTGATGGTCCAATCTGGTGTGTTCAAGTTTGGTCTGATCTGGTTTGAACTGGTCTCGTCTGGTAAATGTTTGCTCTATGTATTTTATACTACGGAAGTTAAGTCTAGTCTGGTCTAGTCTATTTAAGTCTGGTCCGGTCTCGTTTGGTTGAGACTGAATATAGTTCCATTAAAAATACCCTAATACTATTGCTGGCAAAAATGGCTAGCTTAACACTATCCTTTTCAATTGTTTACTTGTTATTTTTATTAGCATATTCAAAACTTTTGCTGGCTTCTCCTTTGTTTATTAAATAGTGTTGCTTGGAATTATTTAATTAAAAATAATAGTGATGGTTAGGAATCCGAATCACTTGACTGACCATCTCTATAGCAAATTGTGGAAAATGTGTAAACATTTTTTTTACTCGGGGTCGGGCCGGAAAATTCTAGAGTAAATAAGTTGAAATTTTTTATACGGAATTTCGAACACGGAATTTAGAACCAATTCTGAGTCACTTCCTCTAAATTTGCAGTTCGCTCATTGTATTCATGGATTTCTTCAAATAAAAAAAACCTTAAATCATAAAGCAAAAGATAAACCACATTTATAATGTATTGTTGGTGTAGGAAAAGGCAAGACAGGACCAAAGGGTACACGTTTTAAGTCTAACAACCATTTCATACACCCTATGTACCAAACTAATAATTAGCAGCGTTATTGTTATCCATCGTCATCAACACAAATATCTCCAAGAAGAATATCTGACGGATTTAGTGCCGGCATGATTGGGTGGAGTTAAAATTACTCTATTTTTTTTTAATAAATGTAAAAAGGCGTGGTTGTTTTTTATTACTAAATCACGTCATTTAATACACTATTTGAGAGCATCAAAATTAGGTATTCATAGGCTCTACATAGTAGGTTTTTAATTATTCTTAATTAGGTAGATAGTGTGTTTAGGGTAATATTGATACGGGCACGGTAAGCAAACAATAAGGTAATGATCAAGCAAGTGGTTATCCCTTATCACCAATATAAAAATACGATTTATACCAAATATAATCTAATCTAATCTTTTTCATCAAATAAATAATGATGAACATGACAATACTTGCACGCCTTTCTCCTTATTTCCAAGATCTAATTACAGATAACCAAATAACTTGATCCGATAACATTACTTTCATATGACAATCTCCAATGCTACAATGTGCACAATGTACATGTGACATGAGAGATAGCCATATAAATATTACGGAGTAGTAAATAAATTCTTTCTTTCCACATTTGAAAGATTTTAAATAATTTTGGTAAGTTTTTCTCCACAATGTCGATGAGACCATCTAGTTGTTCACATTGCATGGGAAAACATACCAAAATTGTATAAAATCATACAAATAAGAAAAGACATAATTTATTTGTTAATATTTGTGTGACTATCTCTCATGTCACATGTACACCATGCACATTCTAGCATTGGAGATAGCTCTCAAAAAAGAGATGTCAAGTTCAAAATTTATGTTAGCATTCAACCGAACATATACTATAATATGTGAGAGAATACAATCAAAAAATTATGAGTAGCCGCTTTGTGTTTGATGCCCACATGATCTTTTTTTATTTGAACCCACCTCGTAACTTTTCTTTTTTACAAATTGCAAGGTAGAAAATTCTAACGAGATGCTCCTTTTTATTCGAGTCAGTCACATACGTAGTATATTTTAGTTGCTATTTAGTGCATGTTTGATAGACATATATATATAAGTCTCTACCTTCTAACTTTTATACTTCTAGCTTTTATACTGTTTAAAAAGTGTTTAAAAGTTTCTAGTTGTATTTTTGGCATGACAGTTATTAAGAGCTTTTCGAAAATTAAAAGATCTTTTTTAAGATGCTACAACAAGTAGCATATGAGAAAAGCCCGTGACTTTTACCCTGAGAAAAGCCCGTGACTTTTAGTACTAATTAGGCCTAACAGCTTGTATACCAAACATAACAAAATCAAACAATCACCGTTTCACAAAACAGCTACCACATTTTCTTTTTAAGATCTTTTTAGTTGTTAAATACTAACAGTTAATAAAAAACTCATAAAAGTATCTTTTCAACTAGTTATGTCAAACATACCCTAATTATTCTAGTACCTATTTCAAAATGAAAAAGTAGCAGATCACTTATCAGAGTCGTCTAATTAATTTAGAGGCTCGGAATTAAAATTCAAAATTGAAGCCCCTTATATGAATAAAATATAAAATCACATATAAAAACAACTCACATAATTCAACAAAATTAATTAATTGTGTTTAAATGTTCATATAAAACACTACGATTTAAAATAACTACATATTAATATTATATAATATGACTATATTGTAATACTAATATTAAAAGAATTGGGGAAAATTCCTGACTAATTATCGACTTGAATTGAAAAGGAGGAATATAAAGCTCATCAACGATTAAATATGGAGACAATCATCTTAATGAAAGTCACTTGAATTGATGACTACCATAAGGTCCATAAAGACCCTCCTACCTCTAAACAAATGGAACCAAACAACATTATCAACTCAATGAACATGAAATTAGAATAGAAGTTTGAAACAAATTAAGCAAATGAAAATGGCACTCGGTAATAAAGATGAAATATTGAATAAAAGTCATCTTCATACAACTCGTTCATTAAATGTGTTCGATCGACATGCAAGCAATGATTCACCCCAATCAAACATCCACCTAAGTGCCTCACAAAAATGGCACTGATTCAGCCATTCAGGCGTACCAGTAGCCGAATCATCGATGCCGCTCTAGAGGCCAGAAGTATGTGCGACGACAGTCTTGATGAATGAGGACCGGAGCCAAGGTGATGAGGGTGATCACTAGTCAGCCGACCCCGCTGAAAGTTTGAGAGTACAAAATGTTGAGATTTGGAGGAATAAAAGACAATTTTATTAATGCAAATATTGAGTACAAAGGTGGGTAGTCACTCTTACTCTCACTCTTGAGGATGCTTCACTCTCTTGGTGATGATGGAGTTGTGTTCATCCACCTCTATTTATACTAGCTAGCCTAAGGAGGTGAGAGTGTTTCTAGAACCTCCCACATTAATTACATTCTAGATTATTCTCACATCTATTACATTCTAGAATATTTCTATCTAACTCTTATTCAATACTCTATCTAGAGAATTCTACACTTCCTAGAATTCATAAAGAAGATTATAGAAGATTCTAGAGAGTCTTTGACTTTTCAACACTCCCCCTCAATGACTGCTCTATCTTATTGTAGATCTTGCAACCATGCCAAGTTGATCCCTCAAGCTCTCGAACTGCGTAGTGTTTAGTCCTTTGGTGAACAAATCAGCAATTTGATTTTCTGTCTTAATGTATTTCATGTCAATATCTCCTTTAAGGACTTTTTCTGGTATGAAGTGATAATGAACCTCCACATGTTTTGTCCTTGCGTGAAAGATTGGGTTCTCCGCGAGTCGTATTGCTGATTGGTTATCACAATGTAATGTTATTGGCTCGTCAGTTGGTTGATGAAGATCTTTTAGAAGTTGCATCAATCGTGCACTCTCTTGAGCTGCCATTGCTGCTGCTCTATATTCTGCTTCTGTAGTTGATAATGACATTGTTGGTTGTCTTTTGCTACACCATGACACAGTGCCCGTCCCAAGACTAAATGTGTAACCAGTGGTAGAGCGACGGGTATCATGATCTCCAACATAATCAGCATCACAATGGCCTACCACTTCCAATGATGCATATCTTTTATAAAATATGACGAAATCCAAAGTTCCTTTTATGTACCTCATTTGCGCCGAATTGCATCTAAGTGAGGCATCTTTGGCTTCTCCATGAACCGACTCACTACTCCTACCGCGAACATGATATTTGGCCTTGTGATTGTTAAGTAGATAAGACTTCCAACAAGTTGTCTGTACATTGTGGAGTCCTCCAATTCCCGACCTTCAACTGCACACATCTTACATTTGGCACTATAGGAGTTGATATCGGTTTGCAAACAAGCAACCCAAACTTTTCAAGTATGTCTTTTGCATACTTGTGTTGGCACAAGAATATTCCTTCCTCAGTTCGTTCTACCTCAAGGCCCAAGAAATGTTGTAGTTCTCCAAGCTCTTTCATTTGGAACCCCACTGATAAATTTCCTCGTATTTCATTGATCTCCTTCTCATGATTCCTGGTGATGATTAGATCATCCACACAAATCAATATGACCGATACTTTCTCACCGATATACTTCATAAACAAGCTTGAATCAGAAGGAGCAATTGAGTAACCACTTTGTACCAAGAATCAGCTATCTTCCCATACCATGCTCGTGGTGCCTGTTTCAATCCGTATAATGCTTTCTTGAGTTTGCACACAAACTCTGGATGTGATTTGCTTATAAATCCCTGAGGTTGCTCCATGTAGATGCTTCAATCTAGCTCTCCATGTAAGAAAGCATTCTTGATGTCCATTTGCCACTTCCAAGATTGTCTTGCTGCTAGTGCTAGTAGGACTCGTACAGTAGTGATCTTTGCTACTGGGATGAACGTTTCATCATAATTAAGGCCATACTTTTGAGAGAAACCTCGAGCGACCAAGCGTG